CCCAACACCCACACACACCACACACCCCAACACACCACACCAACACACCCCCAACACCCCACACCCCCCAACACCCCACCCCAACACCACCCACACCCCAACACCACCCACACCCCCACACACCCCCCAACACCACCCACACACCCCAACACCACCCACACCCCACACCACCCCACAACACCCGACACACCCCCCACACCCACACACCCAACACCACCCCACACCACCCCCCAACACCACCCACACACCCCAACACCACCCACACACACACACACCAACACCCCCAACACCATCACCACATACACCCACAACACCATTAACACATATACACACACTGTAGCACCACATGAGGCTCAGTGCCTTGTCTCATTGCCAGCGATTTTTATTTGCCTGAATTCATTATTACATATACTTGTGTGATCAACTTTGTATGGTGTATGCTTTATAATTGATAATATAAAATACCAAATATTAAGGAAAAATGCAATATATAATTAATAATTTGACATCAAAATTGAATAAGCCAAATAATAAGGCAATTTTTCCCAAGGTAGGTAGATAACAGGTAGCCTTGTGGGGTGTGGGTTGTCTGGGTTTATTCTCCTCCATCCTGTGAATGCGTCACTCCGGGGTCACCATTTGTGGGGTTATGGGTAGTTTGGTTCACACTCAGGATGGGATGGAGAAAGGAAACTCACAATGTGCTCTCTGTATACATGTTGTATTGGATGTACAATGCAGCTTGGTGCTGGGAAGGCAGCATAGTTACAAGCGTGATGTAGAGAGAGCTGGTTGGTGAGGATGCTCAGAGGAGGACCAGCTTGTGGGTCGCCATGCTCGCCGGCGGGAGCGAGGGCCGCCAGGCAGCGGCGGAGGAGGAGGAGGTGTTGCTGGCTGGTTGGTGTAGGTAGAAAAAAAGAGAGATCACCACGAGGTCAGGTCTTAAATAGTGGGGGGTAGGCGTGGCTTAGTAGTTGACCTCCGTGATGTATGGCGGCGCTGGTTGACCCAGACCACGAGGCATACACTGGGGAATTCGCGGGGTCGGCTACTCAGCGACAAACAGCGTTTGTGGGGGAGAAATCCACTACAGCCTCACGCAGGTCCACAGGAATTCATTAATTGGCAACTCTACTCTCGAGATCGCTAAGCCACGCCCCTTTTGCCACTTCATGCGTTTGTAATATTGTGGTATTATTATCTGTATAGATCCTTTCTCTGTCAAAATATACTAGCATACAATGTTATTAATCAGATATATATTTGATAATATGTAATATACAGTGTGTATTGCCATGTAAATTATACAATAAGAAAATGTTTGACGAAATTTACAATAAAACGGGAACTCTGGTTGAATTGTAAAATATTCAATACATTTCCTCCCATTTTAAATATCCGCTTCTACTGTTTGATGTAACTCAGTGGGCGGAGCTTAATAAGTGATGTCATCGCTAGCCAATCAGCGACGTTGGATGATATCCAGCGGTCGCAAGTAAGATATTTATATTTATTTTATATATTTAATCAGTGGCTCCAATTAAAATAAAACAAAAAATCTCCATTCCATACATTTATTGTACAACTTTAAATAGCATCATAAGCCTTCAAAAATAGGTAAATAAAAATTTCATTTTTATTTTCATTAGCGTAGATCCTGTGGGAGTGAGGCTACCTTGTGGGGTTATGTGATATTTGGTTCACACTCAGGATGGGATGGAGAAAGGAAACTCACAATGTGCTCTCTGTATGCATATTGTATTGGATGTACAGTGCAGCTTGGTGCTGGGAAGTGGCAGCGTGGTTACAAGTGTGATGTAGAGAGAGCTGGTTGGTGAGGGTGCTCAGAGGAGGACCAGCTTGTGGGTCGCCATGGTCGCCGGCGGGAGCGAGGACCGCCAGGCAGGAGCGGAGGAGGAGGAGGTGTTGCTTGCTGGTGGCTGTGGGTAGAAAGAGTGGTCACCACGAGGTGTGGGTTGCAATGGTCGCCGGCTGGAGCGAGGGCTGCCAGGCAGGAGCGGAGGAGGAGGTGTTGCTTTAAGACTGGTTGTAGGTAGAAAGAGGTAGGTCACCACGAGGTGAGATCTTATATAGCGGAGGTAGGAGTGGCTTAATAGATGACCTCCGTCATGTAAGGCGGCGCTGGTTGACCTAGACCACGAGGGCAGGCTGGTGAAATCGTGGGGTCGGCTACTCAGCGACAAAAGCGTTTGTAAGGGAGGAATCCACTACAACCTGTTATCTACCTACCTTGATTTTTACCCCCAGACCTCTGCACTGGGAGGGGGGTGGCAGGTAAGCTTAGCCATTACCTAGTTCCCCATTTTTTTTTTCATTTATTCATTACAGAACTGATACATTATAAAAATAGCTATCATACTGTATATGAAGGATACTGATATTATAAGCACAAATTATTGCAGTAACATATTACTACTAGTTAATAAATATCAAATAAACAATATTGTGTCTTGAGTTACAGTAGGAATGACATTGGCAGGGGTGGGTAAAGGGAGACGAACCTTTCCGGTGGGGGGGGGTGAGCAGTCAGTTCCTCCACAAGTGTCTCTTCCTCCCACCTCACACCACCACCGCTCTCTTTTTTACTCCATATTGTATTTTAAAATGTTATCTAACGTAATGTTCAAAGGGATCCAGTACAGGTATTAAATAATAGAAAAAAAAATATGGTTCAGTTTATAATTTGTATAATGATAAGAACATCTGTGGTAAAATGAACAAAATCGAGCAACTCATTCTGATGATAGCTGTTTTCTCATAATATTGGAGAGTATTTTTTAGAACTTACTAAATAATATTGTGGTGTATTATGCGTCTCCATATGCCCTGGTTTATTCACTGATCAGTTGTCTAAGTACAAAAATAGCCAAGTCAAGTCATCGTATATCAATTAATTTTAAAATAAAAATTATAAAGTAAACTGTTATAAAACAATTGTTTAGTAATGCTGTTAATGTGTGTGCTGTGTAAGTGTCTTAGCATGTCACCTCACCACCTGACTTGTCACCTCACCACCTGACTCGTCACCTCACCACCCGACTCATCACCTCACCACCCGACTCGTCACCTCACCACCCGACTCGTCACCTCACCACCCTTCGCCTCACCAGCTTAGCTTGGAATTTGTACATTTATTTATTACTGTATTATTTTACTTTTTTATTATTGTATGTACATTTAAAAAATATATTTATTATTGCACAGTAGTTATAAATAGACCCAGAGCAGAAAAATTCAGGTTTGCCCAAGCGGTCTTCCCACCCAGCACAAGAAGATGTGGCTAAGCATGAATTTGTGCTCAGACATGAAATTGAGAGAATTTTCTGGAAAAATTCTGAGTAAATTTCAATTCCGGCTATTGGAGAGTTCCGGTTAAGAGGGATTCTGGCTAATGGAGATACAGTATTACTCAGTGATATCTTCATTGGCTGGAACAATTTGGTGCAGACCACTTCTGGGAATGAGAGATTTCCTGGTAACGAGATGACTCTCAAAGCCAGAAAAAATCCCCCATTCCCGGAATTTTCCAGGTACCGGGAAAATTTTCTTGGAAGTTACCGAAATTGCGCATTACATCATCTCTCGAATCTGTAAAAAAATCCCCATCCTTGGAATTTTTCTGGGCCTTGGAATTTTCTTGGAGTTTTCCAGAATGATGCATAATTTTATCTCTTAAACCCACAAAAAATTCCCCCATACCCATAATTTTTTGGAATTTTCTTGATTTTTGGAAAATTTTCTCGAAATTTTCCAGAAAATCGTTCCCAAACCCAAAATTTTCTAGAAAATTCTGAGAAAATTTTAATTCCGGCTATCAGAGAGTTCCGGTAAAAAGGGATTCTGGGCAACAGAGATATTACTTATATGATATACTCTCGATTTAACAGAATCCGAAATAACGAACTCGATTTAGAGGTAGGAATTTTTTCTTTTATTCTTCGTTATTCTTCACTCGATTTAGTGACCTAGTTCGCTAAATTGAGATGAATTCCATTAATACGCTCACACCTACGTAGACAGCTGAGACACATGATATGTCCATAGAAACATTAGAAACATTATTCATGGTTTACCTTAAACTAGGGGGTTTGGTGTTTGTTTTAAATTTTTTCTATAATTTCCAAACTTTGTTCCAATTGATGGCTGCACTCTTTTGACCGAGATGTTGCCCGAGAAGTAGCAGTGAACAACACACGCGGTGGCAGTAGGACTCAGACTGAGCAGATGTAAACAAACCCAACGTGCCAAGCGGTGCATTTGGGGCATAATTTAATGGAATCACTCTCAATTTAGCGAACTAGTTTTCTAAATCTAGTAAAATTAACAGAAATTTCACTTAGAGAAAATTAACGTAATCATACTCGATTTAGCGGATATTTTGATTTTACGGAAAGGGATGGCTCAAATTAGTTTGTTAAATCGAGAAAATATTGTATATATTCCACAGTGTGATGTTCCTTGTTTTGGTGAGTACCACACACTGCAAGAATTTTGAAACAATCCTGCAGTGTGCATTTGTTTGTGAATGTAGAGTGCTGTATACCATTCAGAGTAACAGTTATAACAGTTATAAGTACCAAGTGATTGCACTAGCCAACCAGCCAGTGCAGGTTGTTCCGCTTCTCACACAGCTGTTTGAATGGTGTCACATGTTCAAGTCAATAAATAAAAGGTCATGTGAAGATTTTTTTCATACACCCATCATGTAAAAATATACTATATGAATAATTGAATAAGATAAAAAAAGACTCGTCTGAGTGATACATCATCCCACTGTACCTTTGAATTGGCTTACAAATTTTTTCACTATTTTTCCCTGAGTCACAGTTCACTTACTTAACTTACTTACTTGCCTACTTAGCCACATTTCACCGACTTTTACTTTGCTTCTATCCCCTTTGCCACTGATCTACTGTCTGAAATTGGTAAGTGAAAGAACATCATTTGATTGTCACTTTAATTTTTCTTCCTTCACACAGATTACGGGCCAAGGTCAACCTGACTCACCAGAGAGGGGATTATGTCATGGTGCTTTTGGTAAGGTTAAGTATATTTTGGATGATTACGCTCTAATACTACATATACTACTTCCCAGGGTTCGATTCCCAACTAGTGAGGCATTGTTTGTATATGGAAGTCCGCATGCTATATGGACTGATCACACACACACACACACACACACACACACACACACACACACACACACAGAGAGAGAATATATATATATATATATATATATATATATATATATATATATATATATATATATATATATATATATATATATATATATATATATATATATATATATATATATATATATATATATATATATATATATATATATATATATTTTTTTTTTTTTTTTTTTTTTGTGTACAATTTGTGTTTTGCAGTGTTGAACATATTGTACCAGAACAAAATCATCATCCAAGAATATAGTGTTAAATTAGTGTTAAGAACGTAAAAAGTGATTATAGTTTTGGATACTAGGCTAGCCTTTCCAACAGCTGACATATATGTATATATAAACTAATACACTTTGAAATAGTTAATTTTTTTTCCCTCTCATCTTGCAGGCTGAAGATAATGGAATTAGTCCCCAAAAAGGGAATGTAACTATCAGCATGCAGGTGACAGATGTCAACGACAATTATCCACAGTTTCATTTTGACACCTGTGTTGATGGTATACCAACTGTCCACATGCAAGAGGTATTAGAAGTTGACTTTGCAATAGAAATAAGCTTATTTAATGTTCCTGACAGAGAATTCCTTGAACTTTGTGATGAAAAACTGTTATTAAACCAAAGAAATTGTTCTACACTTGTAGCACATTAACTGCTATGATGTAGAGTGCCTAGAATCAAGAATATTATAGGCATTCCTTTTTATTTTTTATATAGGTTTGTTGTGCAGATCACCATGAATTTCAAAATCTGACTTTTTTTTTTTCAGAACATTTATAAATCTGGCGACAGAGTCAAATGCACCACACAGAATAAAACTGATAATTACCTGAAATTCCATGTGACTGATGATGATCTTGGTGACAATGCTAAAGTCTCTGTGGATATTGACTATGATGCATCAACAGTAGAGGGAGCTGATGACAAAAATGGTATGGCTAGCATGTGTTGATCATTTACTGTTGTTGTGGGCTGCTTATTATGTTATGGTTTTGTTCATCTGTTCCTAGGGTGGTTGCACAATTTCTGAAAATTTTGAGAATGGAAACTTTCCTCAGGAAATTTTTAAATAAATGGGAATTTATAGGAATACAGTTAACCCTCACTTTACGCGGTTAATGTAACCCGGAGGGTCCCGCGTAAAGTGAGAAACGCAAAAAGTGAATAACATAACCTATGGGATTAATTGAAATGGAGTCGGGCGATCCCCAAACTCCACTTTTTGACGACACACAACTATGTTGTAGTAAAAATATTATCTTAACTTTATGATGGTATGCACACACAATTAATAATTAAGAGAAATATCAATAATATTAGGTTTTTAACACTTACATTAGTAGAAAAATATCTGGGCACAGGGGATGGGCGGTTGGTTCGAGGCAGAGGCAGATTATTGGCCCTCACCTGTGTCACTTGTATCAATTGTATCACTATCCACCACAGAGGCTTGCAGGGCCTCTTTAACTCCCCAAAGTCCATATAAGTCCATATCCTCACCATAATTATCACTATCACTGACTTGGGCGGCTGTGGTGGGTGGGGTGAAGAACTGGTAATAATTTGTTTGATGACTGGGCGACCTTATGCATCATGTTCGCGCCGCTTACACAACATGGCGGATGGCGGAGGTTTGGATCCAAAATGGCGGCGGCTCGCCAGCCGCCGCCCAGCGTAAAGAATTGCGCGGTCGCGGAATGTGAGCATCCTGGGTTCCGGCAGAGCACAGCATCGTGAAAAGCGGAATGTGGGACGCGTAAGTGGTTAACTGTAATGGAAAAAATTTTAAATTTACAGAATGTTGCAAAAACATATATTTCTCTTTATTCGTGGAAATTTTATACATTTTAACATATTTGGAGATATCTACAATACAATACTAAGTTTAAGATTAAAATTTCCAATGCATACACTGTGAGTAAAACAAATAAGGGTTGGCCACAAAATACAATTACAGGTACAGTCTCCCCTCGACTTACGACATATTCGACTTACGACAACCAGACATATATGGCAAATGGTCGTATAAAATATTTTTCACATTACATATTTTCAAGTCTTGACGTTAGTGATTGCGCTGTGTACTGACAAAAATTTTTATTGTAATTCCCTTTAAAATGGCTGGCAAGCGTTAAAGTGAGAGTTTTCATGGTGCTGAGAAGAAAAAGAGACACTCATTTTACAATTTCTATGTGTTATTTTTGTCTTTTCGACTTACGACCAATTTGACTTACGACCTGGTCGTCGGGACGGAACCCCGTCGTAAATCAAGGAGAGAATGTATATTATAAAGGCATTAATCCAAGGAATTTGGTTTATGGCATAAATGAATTAGTTTTCAAGCAACTAAACCAATTTGTTCTATATTATGTATCAAAATCTATATGAAAATAAAAAGTCAAGGAATTTTTAGATCACACATTCCACATCATCTTAAATACAGTTGAGTCTGCATTTACGCAGTCAATTGAACCCGTGGAGGCCCGCGTAAAACGAGAAACGCGTAAATGAAATAACAGAACATATGGGATTAATTGAAATAGAGACTGGGCCAACCCCCAAACTCCACTTTTTACGACACAATACCTACGTTGCAGTAAAAATAACATCTTAATTTTATGATGGTATGTACACACAATTAATATTTAAGAGAAAACAGTCGCCCGGCTAATGTCCATTCAAATAATGGACTCAACTCCCACCCCCCTCCCCCCTTCCCCTCTTCCCACGCTCGCTGGCTCCTCCCTCTCTGAGAAATGTTTGGGTGAAAACACTAGATTTTACGGTATAGTAATAAATAATAACTCAGACTAAAGTTAGGATAATATAATTGACATTGCTGGATTCCTTGCAGGACAGGGAATATTTTGAATGTAAACTTCATATATTTTGCACAAAAGATAAAATGTTTGCTAATTTTCATCATCTCCTTAAATTACATCTAAAATTTGTATGTCTAGTGCAAATTTTAAGATGTTTGTATTTAAAATGATCACCATCTTGTAAGAATTCCAGCAATGTAAATTATATTCTGGCCAGGTAATTTGTATGAATTTTATGAGCTAAAAACAAATTTCTTCAGTAAATAAACAAATTATACTTCACCCAGACACTATCTGTCAATCAAAATACCCCACCTCCCGCTTCCCCCCTCTTCCCACGCTCGCTGGGTCCCTCCTTCCCTCCCTACCAGAGAAATGTTTGGGTTAAAACAGTATGTTTACATATTTAGTAGTAAATAATACCTAAGACTAAAGTTAGGACAATATAATTTACATTGCTGGATTCCTTGCAGGACAGGGAATATTTTGAATGTAAACGTCATATATTTTGCACAAAAGATAAAATGTTTGCTAATTTTCACCATCTCCTTAAAAAATTTGTATGTCTAATGCAAATTTTAAGATGTTTATATTTAAAATGATCACCATCTTGTAAGGATTCCAGCAATGTAATTATATATTTTATGAGCTAAAATAATATATATCTTCAGTAAATACAGTTGTACCCCACTTAACGCGGTTTCACTTAACGCGATTTCTCATATACGCGGTGCCTCGCCAGAACCGAACTTTCACTTAACGCTGTTCATCTACTCATATACGCGGTGAAGTATAATATTTTTATTTTTTTTATTTAGCTCCTAAAATTCATACAAATTACCCGGCCAGAATATAATTTACATTGCTGGAATTCTTACAATATGATGATCATTTTGAATATAAACATCATAAATTTTGCATTAGACATACAAATTTTAGATATAATGTTTACTCTGAGTAAATATGTTATCTTTTGTGCAAAATATATGACATTTATATTCAAAATATTCCTGGTCTTACAAGGAATCCAGCAATGTCAATTATATTATCCTAACTTTAGTTTGAGGTATTATTTATTACTAAAAAGGTAAATATTCTGGTTTTCCCACACATCTGGTAGGGAGGGATGGTGGAGGATGGGGGGGGGAGGAAGGGACGTGAAGAATATTTTTTTTTTTTTGTATTAACTGAAGATATTTGTTTTAGCTCATAAAATTCATACAAATTACCCGGCCAGAATATAATTTACATTGATGGAATTCTTACAATTTGATGATCATTTTGAATATAAACATCATAGATTTTGCATTAGACATACAAATTTTAGATATAATGTTTACTCTGAGTAAGTATGTTATCTTTTGTGCAAAATATATGACCTTTATATTCAAAATATTCCTGGTCTTACAAGGAATCCAGCAATGTCAATTATATTATCCTAACTTTAATCTAAGTTATTATTTATTACTAAAAATGTAAATTACTATTTTCTCCCAAAGCTTCTCTGGTAGGGAGGGTTGGTAGGGGGGAGGGTTGGGACGGACCGACCATCTGGCGCGGTTGGAAGAGGGGGGGGAGGCAAGGTGGGGTACTTTGATTGACAGATAGTGTCGTGAAGATTTCTTTTTTTTTTATTAACTGAAGATGTTTGTTTTAGCTCATAAAATTCATACAAATTACCCGGCCAGAATATAATTTACATTGCTGGAATTCTTAAAATTTGATGATCATTTTGAATATAAACATCATAGATTTTGCATTAGACATACAAATTTTAGATATAATGTTTACTCTGAGTAAATATGTTATCTTTTGTGCAAAATATATGACATTTATATTCAAAATATTCCTGGTCTTACAAGGAATCCAGCAATGTCAATTATATTATCCTAACTTTAGTTTGAGGTATTATTTATTAAAATCTAGTGGTTTTCCCCCAAAAATTTCTCAGAGAGGGAAGAGCCAGCAGTGTAGTGTGAGAAGTGGGGGAGGGACTCCAGTCCATTATTTGAATGGACATTAACTTGGCGTATTTCTCTATTTCTCTTAAGTATTAATTGTGTGCATGTACCATCATAAAATTAAGATGTTATTTTTACTACAACATAGTTGTGTGTCGTCAAAAAGTGGAATTTGGGGGTTGGGTCAGTCTCTATTGGAATTAATCCCATATGTTCTGTTGTTCACTTAACGCGGTTTTCACTTAACGCGGTACCCTGTGGGTTCAATTGACCGCGTTAAGCGGGGTACAACTGTAAACAAATTATACTTCACCCGTGTAAATGATGAAATTTACCTCGTAATTAAAACATTTCATTCTGGCAGGGTGCCTCGTAAATGACCAAACGCGTAAACAAAAACCGCGTAAATCCAAACTCAACTGTACTGTTGCAGCTAAATACTGAAGCAAAATTATGTAGTTTCAGGTGTAGATGATAAAAGTACCTTATCTATTCCATACACATCTTCTGCCATACTACTTAATTTGGGTCTTCAAAGCATATTGATATATAAATTAACTAGTTCTTAAGGAAACCAAAAAATTTAAGATATCTTGAAACATTCAATCAATTAATCACAGAGATCCTCATATTTGAGGGTTGGCAACCACTCCTACACTCAGCTTTGCGCATTAATATTTCTGTTGTTATTCCCTCATCCCTAATTATATGACCAAAGTATCTCATTTTTCTTTTTCTGTACATCTCTGGTACTTCTTCATTTATTTTCCTGTCAGTGTAACTTATTTTTATCATTCGCCTATAACACCACATTTCAAAGACCTCCAACCTCTTTCTGGTGTCTGCTGAAAGTGTCCGCACTGCTGACCCATACATCAGCCCTTGCCATATACTGTAAAGTCTTTCAGCAGCCCTTTTTTCAAATTGAAGTTAATGTCCCTTTTCATTATGTCTTTTAGCTTATTAAATGCTGCTTTGCCTGCTCTATTCTTGTCTGGTTTCTTCCTTACATCTACCATCACAGCTAAAACATTACTTCCTAAATAAAATAAAAAATTCCACTTGTTTAAGTTCCTGTTGCTTACCATAATTTTTATTGTAGGATTTATTTCCAATTTGGTAATGACCACAACTTTAGTCCTTACAACA